TTCACAGTAAGGGTCCATGACTTTTTTGTTTTGGTCATGGAACCCTTTGTCAATCTGGTGAAGTCAATGGATAATATTTCAGAATAATGCTTTTACCTGTATAAAGTAAAATATATAGAATTACAAAGGAAAGCAGAGGTTGTTGAAACTAAAGACGTGATTTTTTTCCACATCCAAGTTTGTGAACCCCTTAAAATCTGTTGACCCTCAGTGAAGAACCTATGTTTTAAGGGGGCATTGGTGGAGAACTCCAGCTGAAGCCAGAAGTTGGAAATTTTGTGCTCAGTGGCCAGTGGTAGAAACCAGTAGTAACTGGGACTAGTAGAGCATCATCAAGGAGGTGTGCCCACTTCTCAAGAGAATCGAAAGGACACACTTCAACCTCTTAAAGTCTTTGAGACACCAGTCTTCGGAACTGAGTCTAGGGTCATCTTTATAACACTCTGACTCCCATCCCCTTCTTCTCCCAATACAATTGAGAAAGCGAGAAAAACAAAACACCCTCTATAAAAATGTATACTTAAGCAAAACAAATTCCAGCACTGACTATGTTCGTATTTACAATACTGCTGTAATTATATAAATTGCCCTCCTGATCAGTTTGTTTTGGTCTAGGGTCTTGGGAACCCTAAAAATGCAAGGGCAAAGGGCTGGGATCTGCTTCGAAAGAATTCAACCACTCAAGCCTTCTTTCAGTCCAGGTAGTTTATTAAAGCACCAGTTGGGGTGGGAGAGATTCCTAGTGAGTTTGGGCATTTGGTAGGGACAAGACTGATTTTTTTTTATAGGGAAAAAGATTGTGGGAAGATTTGGATGGGATCAAGGAATGGTGATCATGAAGTATCAGAGAAGGGGTCTAGATGGGATTAAGGGGTGGGAAGTAGCCTAGAGTGGTCCAGAGGTAACAGATAATGTAGGGCTGGGCTGGGTCAAGGGAAGCAAGGAATGAAGGGTTGGGCTGGATTGGGAGTGGGGCGGTCACAAAGAAAGGATAGTTGAAAGAATCATTGAGTATCTATGTGGGAATGTGTGGGAAAGTTTCCCGGGAGCTGGGTTGAGTTCAAAGAACTGGTCTTTTTTTTTTGGGGGGGGGGTTGAGGGGGAGTCCAGGTCCAGGTTCCATAGCCAGTCGATTTCACTTTGTAGTGCAGGGAGAACTAGCTCTTTTGTTTTGAGGGCCTCTACATGTAAGTAAAACAAAGGCTGTCCGTTATCCAAAGGGAAACTCCCCAAAGTCTCTATTATAGCAAGTTGGGGAGGAGAAATGATGGATACTGCTGGCTCCTCTAATGTCTTCCCAGAGTCTTTTCCTTCAGCAACCTGAGGTGGAGCTGGCCTCTTCCATCCTCCCTCAGAGCTGGAAGCCTGAACTGCCCTAATCAACTCAATGCTTGAAGAGTCCCAAAGAAAACTAAGGAAGGCTAGAGAGCTACCCATCTTACCTACTCTGCCTTGCCCCTCACCAGGGCTGGGCATTCATCTCCATCAATGAAGAGAAAGTCTCATACCAATGGACTTTGGGACAGGGGTTACAATAGTAACTTCTTAATTGGTTTCCCTAAGTCTGGTCTGTTCCTACTCCAATTCATCTTAGATAGAATAACCAAAATAATCATCACTCCTCTGATCAAAGAAAAATTATGATGTTAAAATAGTTGAGTTTGAATTACTGAACTAAGTACAATGAGCTTGACATCTAAAGTCTTTGTGTTCCTTCTCCAATGTACCTTTCTGCCAGACTGTGTCTGGCACTACTTTTGTTCATATACTCCACACTCCATCCAAACTGGACTACTGGCTCTTTCTTTTTTTTTCTTTAGTATTCCAGGTATATTTATTAATATGTTTTTAGTTTTTAACATTCACATCCACAAGCTTTTGAGTTTAAAATTTTCTCCTTCTCCCTCCTTTCCTCCCTTCCCAAGATGGTATGCAATCTGATATAGGCTCTACATATACATTCCTATTAAACGTATTTTCATATTAGTCATGTTGTAAAGAAGAATTAGAACCAATAGGAGGAACTACAAGAAAGAAGAAACAAAACAGAAGAGAAAAAAAAAGAGCAAATAGTATGCGTCTATCTGCATTCCAACTCTGGAATGTTCTTTCTCTGGATGTGGATAACATTTTTTTTATTAAAGAGGTTGAAGTGCGCCATTTTGATTCTCAGGAGAAGCAGGTGCACTTCCTTGGAAGGAGAGAAAATGCACCAATAGCATTTTCCATCGTGAGACTTTTGGAGATGTCTTAGGTCCTTGCATTGCTGAGGAGAGCTAAGTGTATCAAAGTTAGTCATCTCACAACGTGGTTGTTACTGTATACAACGTTGTCTTGGTTCTGCTCATTTCACTCAGCATCAGTCCATACAAGTCTTTCCAGGGCCATCTCCAACTCATCCTGATCTGTATCTTGACACTGGACCAGATGGCCTAGGAAGAAAAAGTGAGGCTGGTGACTTTGCACAGTCCTCCCTCACTTAAATCCAATTCACTTGCATGTCATGGCATCACATCCCTAATGTCATGGTCCTCTTCAAGAACTAAGGACAAACAACAATAGTTGAGGTGATGGGCCTCTCACCATTTAACTTTAAATGGATAGTGGTGACTTGACTGAGTAAATCAACCAACTCCATCCTTACAAGTGTCAGGTAAGGCACTAGGAACTGGGGTGTGGAAAGATAAAAACTAAACAAACCTTGCCCCCAAGATATTTACATTCATTCTGTCTGAGGAGAAAACATGTAATCTTCTTGCAAAAGTTGGTACTTGACCTGAGCTTTGAAGGAAACTGGATTAAGAAATTGAGATAAGGAGAAATTACATTCCAAGAATTGGGTACAGCCAATGCAAAGGTATGGAGTTGAGAGACAGTGTCACGTCTTCTATTTCTTTTGTAGTCAGTGTCCTTTAAAGTACAATGTTCATTAAATGTTATTGACTGAAGAGGACTAACTTAGCAGCTTTCTAACAGTACATATCTGTTAATTTCATACCATCTTCACATAAAACTGCAGTTTGAAAGGTCAAAGAATATCAAAATACCAGAAAATACAAAAAAAATTCAGAAATACTAATTTGGGGGCATAATTATTACTTATGTGTGTTCACAGAAGAAAAAAATGCTTTTTAAAATTATATGTTTTTAAAAACACATAAAATAACTGTAATACAGAACCTCAACTCCTGACAGTTTGCTTACTATTTTCCATAAGCAAGGTACATTAAAAAAAAAAGGTTGTTTAAAGAGGAGTGGTGTTCTACTCTAACAATTAACTTAAACACTTTTTTTCGTAATAAAGGCAGAATTCCATGATATGCCTAGTTATAAAATGTTAACTGACCTTTGGATTTGTGAAAGTTCAAAATGATTCCACAATATATACTGTTTGCACAATTGAAATTTGATACAGGATCATACATTAGAACCATCTTGCTGTTTGTGGGACAATGGGCATTTTCACTGGCTGTTCTCTATGACTGGAAATCTCTCCAGATTTCTCTGACCTCCTTCAAGTCTAAGGTAAAATCATAAAGTTCTGCCACAACAGTAGCCTTTCTCCTTAATGCTAGTGCATTCCTCTGAGATTACCTCTCATTTACTCTGTAAACCTGGTATCTCATTTGTTGTTTGCAGATGGTCTCCCCATTAGAAGGTGAGCCTCCTGAATGCAAGGACTGGTTTTTGTCCTTTGTATCAAGCAATATGCATTTATTAAGTGCCTACTGTGTGCCAAGTTCAGTGCTAAGGGCTGGGGATACAAAAAGAAGCAAAAGGATAGTCCTGGCCCTCAAGGACCTTACAATCCTATGGGAAGAGATAAAATGCATAACAAAGCAAGCCGTTTACAAAGATAAATAGGAAATAACTAACAAAAGCAAATAACTAGAATTAAGACGGGTTAGGGAAGGTTTCCGGTAGGTTTTTGTTTTTATGGTAGAGCGCTTAAAGGTGGGGGGGAGGAGTTGCATAACTTTATTGAATATTTAAAAGGAATAGCAAATTGTATATAATAGATTTGCAGTTTCATATACAATCATCTCTTTTTTTCCTATTGTACTATGTTATGGAAATGCTTGTTTTATTTCTTAAGTCCAGAATAAATTAAATTTTTAAAAAAGAAAGGCGGTGGGCACCAAGGAAAACCAGTTTTTATTAAGACAATGTCGATAAGCTGAAAAGCAGACCACATTTTATAGCTCACGAAAGTCATTTAGTCCAAACACCTTTCATTTAACAGATGAGGAAACTGAGGCCCCCTTAAGATAAGCAACTCGTTCAATTGACAGATGAAGTTAAGTGGCCACGTGAAGCATCATCCTCTCCTGCACACTGAGCGCTCCGTTCCACCGCAGCAGCCCGCGACTCTCCACCAAGCCGAGCAGATGCTTCCCCCCCCCAGGCCTGGTTGGGCTTGAGAGGGTGGGAGGGGCATCGGGGTGGAGGCAGCGAGGGCACGGAGGTTACCTCAACTTGCTGCTGACGCACTTCCGGCGCGACGGCTCCTCTCCACGCCGCTAAGGGGCTTACAGGGGAGGCGGTTAGGAAGTTTGGGCGCCTTTTCTGGCGGCGGTAGATTTGAAGCTCCGCCCCGGGGGCCGCCGCGCAGGGACCCAGGAACCGCGCACCGGAGCAGGTAGGCCGCCCAAGGCTCCGGGTGCTGCGGCGGTAAAGCCAGCGGCTGCGGCTCTGGGAGACGGGGGGAGGGAGAGGCCAGGGCCCCGGGGGCGGAGCAGTGACGGGCCCAGCCCCCAGTGAACTGTTTTGTTCCCCCCTCCCCCCCGCGGGGCCCCCTGCGCCGGCCCGGAGTGACGGACCCCCGGTGGGACGGTGCGGGAGCGGAGCAGGAGGGAGGAGGGAGGAGGAAGGCGGGGCCGCGGGTTGCGGAGGCTGTTTGGAGCTAAAGCGCTGGGCTCGGCGGCCCTCCCCCCGCACGCTCCTCGCTCGCCCACTCGCCCGCCTCCCGCCCTGACGCATTTTGCCGCACAGGCTGTAACATGGCGGCGGCCGAGTGAGCCCCGGAGAGCCCAGCTGCTTCCGAGCACTTCCGAGCGGGGGCCGCGGCGGCCAGCGCGGCGCACTGGAGGCGGAGGCCGCCGGCCGGGGCAGGGGCCGCGACGTCCTGAGGGAGCGCTCGCCCGCAGGGTTGAGGTTTGTTTCCTTTGGTTGGGGGCTGATTAAAGCTCCTCTCCCCGCCTGATGTGCCCTTTTCTGGGCTCGTACCCCCCTTCTTTCCCTTCCTCCCTTCTTCAGGCGGCAGCTGCAACATGTGCCTGCTGACTAGGGAACAACCCAGCCCTCGACAGGTTGGGAGGTGTTTTCTTTCTTTCATTTATTTATTTTTTTTTAAGGCTCAGGTGTAGACAGTCTTCTTCTTGTTCTCTAAATTGTTGAGAGGTTTCCATACTGTCTCAGAGCCGTGCGACTTGCAGGCCCGGACTCAGGTAATCCTTTCGGACACCTAAGGTGCCAGATGTTGGCCTCTGAGACCCTATTCTTGCCTGGGGGCGAGCGTGTTAATTCTTCCCTTCTTTCGCTTCTTTCTAAAGAGCTAGATCAGCTTCTTAAGGGAAGGAGCGATATTGGTTGGAACCTGTTAGGCTCTTTTGGAAGCCAGATTTTGTGCAGTAAATTTTCATCGCTCTCCAGAACTTTCTCAAGTGAAATACCAAGTTCCTGGTTAAGTTAAAGACTCAAAATGATTAAAAAACTAAGTAGTGTTTTGGAAATTTGAAAAGTGGTACTTTATTTACCACCACAACTTGACACCTCGAGTTAAAAACGGGGAAAAAACTAACCAAACTGTATAGAAAAAGAAGGGGCCCATTGAACTGCATGTTTACTTTCTTAGGCACTGAAATTTTTTTCAACTTCAGAGTACAATAAGCCCTCTACAGAGTCCAGAACCTGAAGGCATGAATTACTCTGAATAGTTAATTTTTCCAGTTTATTCCTCTAGAATTTTTTTAAAAAATGTTTTGGATTGAAGTCCTTATTAAATGTATTCTATATTTCCTACCTTCTTAAAGAGCGTATTGAACGTAATTTAGTTTTTACTTGTGAATGATACCCCCCAGGATATCATGATTTATGTTGGCTTGGTTGTCCTGACACGAAATGGCCCTAGACTACTATGCTTTTAAAATTCTTGCCCCCTTTTTATTTACCTGGTTTTCTTTTAAACTCAGCTCAAGTCAGATCTTCTGCTGGAGGCCTTTATCAAACCCTGTAGAAGTCATTAAAAGAACTTTGCAGTTTTCCAAAAGTAACCTCTTGTTCAGTGCTTTCTCTCACATATACTATATGTGTGTATTCATCTCTGTGTGTGTATTGTGAATTACATACCTACATAAACGTATGTGCATGTCTATACAGCTATCGAAAATACTTTTATTTTTTAGGGTCAAGGAAAGTTTTACTAACGCATTAGTGTTTCAGCAGAGTTCATTGTAATGGGTGTAAAAGACAGACACACCATTACAGGTTATAGAAAAACAAAGATTGTATACAGTCACAATAGTTATTTTCATGTCTCTCCACCCCCAAAGTGTATGTTTCTCAAGAGCATTTAGCTTTAGAAAAAGCATTAGCTTTTCTTATTGTCCTCAACAGTGCTTACTTACAGCAGTGCCTAGCAAATGGTTGTTGACTGGCTACTTTATAGTTTTTATCTCTTGACACTTCTCGCTGCTGTTAGTGTACAGGCATGTAGTAGTCACCTTTCTCCTGATTTTTCTCTTGGAGTCTGTTGTGGGCTAAGAAACTAAGTCACCAAACATCTGTATGTATTATATTAAGAACCAATTTATTATGAATGAAGGTTATATGGAATCTCTCTTAAAATCAAAATACTTGGACTTTTTGTGCCCAGAAGTTATTTTTATTCCCTAGTTCTTAGCAGTGTTCTGTATGGTAAGATCTTGGGATAGCTGAGTTTCTGATAGGCTAAATATTACTGTGATTTGGAGATGTAGATGCTCAGCTATAATTTCATTTCCTGTTGTGACTATAACTGTACTGACAGATCAAGGGAATGCTGTAGACATAGTATATGGATTTCAGCAAGATATCTGATAACATTTCCTGTGATATCTTTGTGGACAGATAGAGAATTAGTTGGATGGTAGTACAGTTTGGTGCATGCATAACTAGTTGAGTTATCATGCCCAAAAACTATTGATGAAATAATGTCCATAGTAACCTGCCTGCAGATAGGACTTTACGTATTGCATCTTTTCTTCCAATATTTTTATCAGTGACTTAGGTAAAGATATACATGACATGAATCATGGAAATAGAGCTGATCTGAAATTCTGGATAACAAAATTTAGATTTAGTAGTATCAGTGTAGTATACAGTATTTAAATTTTTACAAACTTTTTTTTAAGGCAATTGGGGTTAAGTGACTTGCCCAGGGTCACACAGCTAATAAGTGTCAGGTGTTTGGTCTGAGGCCAGATTTGAACTCAGGTCCTCCTGACTTCAGGGCCAGTGCTCTATCCACTGCACCATCCAGCTGCCCCCTAAAGTTTTAAAAAATTAAATGTATAAAAGTGGGGCTGGGCTGTGCGACATTTTATGTGAAAAGACTTGGGCTTTTAGTTGATTACAAGCCGAATATGAATCCACAATTAATCTGCCTGCCAAAGTGGCTGATACTTATTTTAGGCAGTATTAATTGACATATACTATACAGAAAAAAACCATGTAGTAGTAGTAATAATAATAATAATAATAATAATAATAATAATAATAATCCTATTACCTTCTGAATTGGTAACTCTTGGGTAATTGTGTTCATTTTGGGTGCAAGATTTTAAGTGAGACATTGAGAAGCTGTTGTGTAATCAAAATGAAGTGATTATAAACCACATATGAGGAATGACTAAAGGAACAAAATGAAATATGCTCATTTGTGCCATCCTAATAGTCTGTGCTCTCTGTCTTCACTTACACACACACTCTGAATTCTTAATCCCTTGCAATCTGAATTCCTATCCCTGACCCCCTCCCTCCAATTGAAAATACAGATGTTGTCAAGGTAACCAAAGGGCATAGGGAACCTGTGAAGGCTTTACACTTAAGTGATAAGTTTTGCCATCTTTTCCCTCTTTCTTCCCAACTTAGAAATGAAATCAAATATATGGTTTGTCACAAAGGAATTCCAATAACATATTGTCATCTGCCTGCTGGATTTAGATGTCCCTTGAAAATATCAGATGTTACATGTCTAAAGCAGAACTCATCTTATCCTCTAAACTTCCCTTTTTTTGTTGAGGTACCACTATCTAATCACTTAGGTTTGTTGGCTTATTCATTCTTGATTTTTCCCTCAGTCACTACCTCCAATCAGTTACCTAGCTGTTCTACTTGTGATTCAGACCTTGATTAACTTCCATGTGGACTGCCTCACAAGTGTTCTCTCTACTTCCAGTTTCTCCCCTCTGCAATCCATCTTCTATATACCTATCAAAATAAATTTTTTAAAATCACAAGTCTGACCATGTTACTCTTCTGATGAAACATCGGTAGCTCTCCATTGCCTAGAAGGTAAAACTCCTTAATCTGGTGTTCAAGGCTCTTTACAATTTAACTCTCACTTTTCCAGCTTTATTTCACAGTATTTCTCCTTTATAAACTGTATATTCTAGCCAAATTGGACAGCCAGTTGTTCACTTAATTCAGTATTCTATATCCTCTCTCTGTATTTTCACATAATCTATTCATAGTTCCTAGAGCTAGTTCTAATCCTTCCTTATCCCCTCTTCTCTGCACCTCCGAATCCTTGTTTTCCTTCAAAGCTTAATTCAGGTAGCACCTCCTACTTTAAGACTTCCCTGGGCTTATCTCTACCCTGGGTGTTAATAAATGTTCTCTCCTTTCTTTGATCTGTACTTTTTTGTGTACCTGTTAATCCCCAATCTCTTAGTAGAAGTAAACTCCTTGAGGGCAATTACTTGGAAGGTATGTGTGGCTAGTACCCAGGTTCATTGCACAAGTAGGCACTTAATACATACTTATTGAAATGGGCAAGGGAAGAATTCACAGGAGAATTTTAAAAATATATAATTGTCTTTTCTTCTATGACTCTAGAGGACAGAAGTGCAACTAATGGGTGGAATTGACCAGTGAGGAGAGGCAAATTTCAGTACAGTGTAAGGAGTAGCTTTCTAAATGATTGAGATTGTATATAAATGGAATGAACTACCACTTGAGGTATTGAATTGTTCATCTTGGTAGTGTTGAAGCAGAGATTTAACTCAAGATTTTATAGGACTGGATTCGTATATTATTCATTATATTATAATATGTATATTATTCATGTACAGTTACACTAAATAATGTCCAAGTTTCGTTTCAGTTAGAGGTATCCATAAGTAGAAAATCAGCTTCCTTGGGAGGTGATGGTTTTCCTTTCATTGGAAGTCTTCATATAGAAGTTGAACTCACTACTCACTTTGTAGGTGTGTTGTAATGAGAATTTGGGGCATAGGTTGAACTAGATTGGGTATAGGGTGAACTATAGATGTCTACTGAGGTGCCTTTTCACTCTAAAATTCTATGAACCTTTGTCATCTATGATTCTTTAAAATTTGTTTTGCCTTTAGTAGCATGGAGAGCCGTAAATACTTGAATTCAAGGCCCATCTTTAAAACATAAGTGCTTGTCTGATATGACTTAGGACAAGTCCCAATCTCTTGGTACTCTAGGAAACTATTAGACTGTAAGTTTCAGAAAAGATGACAGCCTGTATTAGTTGAGGTGATGTCCTCAACTTGGAAGTTGACCTTGCCAATAAAACCACAGATTCAGTCTCTACCCCTGTTCCTTTTACTTTGTGACAAACCGTATATTTGATTTCATTTCTAAGTTGGGAAGAAAGAGGGAAGAAATGGCAAAACTTATCACTTAAGTGTAAAGCCTTCACAGGTTCCCTATTCCCTTTGGTTACCATGGCAACATCTATAATTTACTCCCAGCACTAATTTCTTGCGATGAAATACATGTGTATGTGCGAGAATATACACACACACCCCCCACTGATTTTTTTTTAAACTACTCCCCTTTTGGCATATTTCAACAATTACTCATGTCTCTGTGTCTCAGGAATGTCAGCTGGCCATCCTATGAAATTATTGTTCATGCCCTCC